CCCATTGGATATATTATTTGCGATATGGTTTACAAGAATTTAAAAAATAGTCTTAATATTTATGTTATACCAGAGGCATCCGGTCCACCTTTGCTTGGACGTGATTTTTTTAATCTGTTTAACTTAAATATTGCAAATAATAATTTTTACATTGATATTCCAGATGATTTACGATTTTTAATAAGCAAGTTTCATTCGGTATTTGAACCAGGTTTAGGTACTTTTACTATGGGAACTTTTTCCATTAAGTTAAAAAGTGAAAATATTTCCCCAAAATTTTTTAAGGCTCGTCCCCTTCCATTCGCAATAAAAGAGAAGGTTGAAACGGAGCTAGAGCGACTACAAAATTTAGGAGTTATAGAACCAATAGAATATAGTGCATGGGGGACTCCCATAGTCCCAGTTCTAAAGGGCGATGGTTCGGTCCGCATTTGTGGGGATTTTAAAATTACGGTAAACCCTTGTATTGAAATAGACCAGTATCCCCTGCCTCGAGTTGAAGAACTTTTTGTGAAATTACAAGGCGGTGTCCATTTCACAAAATTGGATTTAGCTAATGCTTATACACAAGTATGTCTAGATGAAAAATCAAAAAACTTAGTAACCATTTCGACCCATAAAGGATTATTTAAATATAACAGAGCACCATTTGGTATAGCAAGTATTCCAGCTAAATTTCAAAAATTAATGGATTCACTGTTAGTCGGGATTCCTGGTGTCGCCATATTTTTAGACGACATTTTAATTAGTGGTCGAAATAGACAAGAACATCTGTCTCGATTAAATTGTGTGTTGTCAAAATTACAAGAGGCAGGTCTCAAAATCTCTTTAAATAAGTGTGATTTTTTTAAAGACAAGCTTTCTTATTTAGGTTTCGTGATTGACCGTGAAGGATTACATACTTCTAAAAATAAAATTTCTGCCGTAAATAATGCTCCGATTCCCGAGAACGTTACGCAACTTAAATCTTGGTTAGGTCTTATCAATTATTATGGAAAATTTTTACCAAATTTATCAACAATTTTACATCCATTGTATAATTTGTTGAAGACAGAGGTAAATTGGTTTTGGTCACCAAATTGTGACCAGGCTTTTTCACAAGTAAAAAAAATGTTGACATCCGCCCCAGTTCTTGTACATTACAATGCAGATTTACCTATTAATCTAATTACTGATGCTTCACAATATGGGGTAGGCGCTTTATTAGCTCAAGTTATGCCTGATGGTATTCAAAAACCAGTAGCTTTTGCATCTCGAACGCTTTCGACAGCCGAAAAAAATTATTCGCAGATTGAAAAGGAAGGTCTAGCGATTATATTTGGGCTTTGCAAATTCAATCAGTATTTATACGGTCGGGAGTTCACGTTGGTCGTTGATCATAAACCTTTAACAGCAATATTTCATCCTGAAAAGGGAATACCCCAATTCTCAGCCAATAGGCTACGCCGCTGGGCGGTAATTTTATCAAATTATAATTACAAAATGGAGTTTGTAAAATCTGAAAAAAATCTGGCAGATTCTTTGTCGCGTTTACCAGAAACAGTAGATGAATTAGCATGGAAAAATGTAGACATAAATTTTGTAAATTTTGTTTCAAAGAACGAACATTTTCCGTTGAATTTTAAAAATATTCAGTCGGAAACCGAAAAAGACAATAATCTAGTCGCTGTTCGCGATCAGGTCTTAAACGGTTGGCATGTCAAAAACATTCACGAGTTAGATTCAGAAATGAAAGCCTTTTATAGAATTCGAAATGAGTTAAGTATCGATAATAACTGTTTATTGTGGAATAATAGAATTATAATTCCTACGTCATTAAGGCAAATGATTTTGAGCGACCTTCATTCGTCTCACATGGGTATAGTAAAATCTAAAAGTTTGGCTAGGTCTTATTTTTGGTGGCCTAATTTAAACAAAGAAATTGAAAAAATTTGTAGTAACTGCGAAAATTGTATATTAAATAAAAAATCGCCTAATAAAGCAGTATTGAATTGTTGGCCTTATCCGAATGAAGTATGGTCGCGTTTACATCTTGATTATTTAGGGCCTTTCTTGCAAAAACATTTTTTAATTTTAGTAGATTCTTTTAGTAAATGGATCGAAGTTTTTCCAGTAACCAACATTACGGCAAAGACAACCATCGACATTTTAAGAACAACTTTCGCAAGATACGGCCTTCCAAAGCTTATTGTTACGGATAACGCAACAAATTTTTCCTCTTTAGAATTTGAAACGTTTCTGTCTCAAAATAATATTAGACACATAACTTCAACCTCCGTATCAACCCTCTTCGAATGGCGCGGCGGAAAATGTGGTAAAAACCATTAAAAGCGCTTTAAAAAATGCCTTGGGGAAAAGCAATTCTCTAGATATCAATAAAGTTTTGAACAATTTTTTATTTGATTATAGAAATGTAACTCACTCTACTACTAGTAGAAGCCCAGCTAATCTAATGTTTGGCCGCCAGTTGCGTACGCGTTTTGACTTACTTTTACCTGATAATAACAAAGCAGATACAGATTTAAAAGATCATGTCTTGGAAAAGCAGGACTTGCAAAAGATTTACCATGGAGGATCTAGAAATTTAAATTTGTGTGTAAACGATGTAGTCCTAGTAAAAAATTATCAAAATGTGAATAAACCTACATGGAGTAAAGGTATTATTTGTGAAAAATTGGGTAATTGTGTATATCGTATAAAAATTCCTGATTTGAATTTGGTCTGGAAGCGCCACCTGAATCAGATTAAATTACTGAACCATGTGGAAGCTTCACTTCCCATTTCACCTCACAGTTCACCTAGGATAGTTTCTGAAAATTTGGGTGTAGTTTCTGGATCTAATGAAAGTGATGAGATACCTGAAACTACAGTGACAGAAATTACTCAGAGTGATAATAGTGATCAGAGTGAAAATCCAATCTTGTGTGCAGATAATAATAATGAGAGTGCTAATGGTGTGCGCCCCAAAAGAAACATTAAACCAATAGAGCGCTTACATTATGAAAATTTTTAATTGTTAGACTTTTTTTTTGGGGGAGGAAATATTGTAGTGTATGTATAAGTTCGCTAGATACGCCACTGGCAGATTTCTTGTAATGCCGATAGGTGGTGGTGGAAGTATCTAGCGAGCGAAAATTAGCATTGTATTTCGAGGTTTAAGAATAAATAAATGTGTTTTGGTTAAGTGGTATACCGGCTTATTATTGTAACCCTTAAGTAATGGGGTTAACATCCCCAATACATCACAATTATCAAACCTGCAGTGAATTGTCTGAAAAATTGGATTGGATAATCATTATTCTAACAATTTACTATGTGATCCTATACAATTTAAATTCTATAAGAAATTGTATCAAATCTTGTACAAGAAATTGTATAGTCAAAACAGTCTTAAGGCGGGTGCCCTACTCCACTGATTCAAATGAAAACAACATATCTTAACCTAAAAATACTTACCGATGAAAGGATAAATTTCGATTCAAATGATCTACCTTATTAAACACTACAAGTGTATGTACCATAATTATTTATATTTCTCACAAAAGTTCACAAAAATAGTATTTTATAAATGAATAAATCAATCAAGTCACACAGAAACTGTCAGAAACACAAAATAGCTGTTAGACCCGATTGGCAACTTTGCGGCTGGTTACGGTAACTACATTTCATTCATAAAAATAGGTACTAGTTGTAAATTCGTAAAATAAGATATTCAGCGTTGCCGTATTTACGGAGTTCTTTGCAACCCTAATATTTTGTTTAGATTAATATTGATTTTTAATAAAAAATTTAGTTTATATTAAAACTTTAAAGAATAATTTGATTAAAAACATATTTTTATTTATATAATATAAAATAATAATTCTAGGATACATCAAATTTTATTTTTCGAAAGTAATTTCTCCAAATAATTTTTACAGACTGATAAAACCGGCAAAGACGCAATAAACGAGAATCTGGTGGGAATAATGATTTGCTACATAAAAATGTAAACAATTTGGTCTCTTAGTTGTAATGTCTATGGGAATATCTGACATTTTCAAATTCACAAAATTTGTTTTCTATTCTACTAACCATATACTGAGAAATACGACAGTCAGGATACTTAGTATTGAAGATATCGCATACCTGTTTCTACTTTTCTTGTTTTATCACTACATCCTAACAATATCAGAATTTCAATTCTTTGACTAACTGTTAAAAATGATGACAATCAGCGATAAATAACTAGAATGTTTGCATAGATGTAGCCAATAAAGAAATTTAAATCATAATTTCTATTGATATGTAAAAAGAAACCCTTCTTAGTTTTTCTTTTTGGTGGATATTTTGCCACCTGCGTTTAACAAAAACGATACATTCAAATTGAAAAGGTTTGACACAAAATCAATGAGAAAAGTTAAGATTTGAGGGATATTTGGTACATTGAATACATTTGATTGTATACATTTCAAATACATTTTAAAATTTTTCAAATTTAAATTTCTTATTGGAGAATATACAAAATTCAATAACCTTAGGGTTGCTGTCACTCCAAAGGAGTTGAGAGGGGAAGTATAAAATTATGGTTACAAAATGTCCTTTTAGAATTTTCCGTATAGTGGGAATAAGCACATAAGTCAAATTATCATAATATATTTTTATTAACTACAAATACATGACTGTAAAATCACATAAGTCAATAATGATGGATAAAGATGTTAGAAATGATTGTGTATATGCACAATAGTCGAAGTGCGTCGTTATGCAGTGGGTATAATAATATAAGTCACAGTTATGTGGTTTCATTCTTCTTGACTTATTTACTTATTCCCACTATACGAAGAATTAAAAATTGACATGTTTCACAATATGAATTTACCCATTACTTATACATCGCACTGTATATTCCACAAAAGACACACATCCTTAACGTTTGTCACAAAAATATTACAGAGTGCACTGAGTAATTCGGATGTTAAATAAAAAGCGAATGGATATTAATATGAGGGTATACTTACTGGCTGCCAAAGAATTCTTTTTTCTTCCCGCCTTTTTACTAGCAATCAACCCCTTAACAATAGAATTAGTTGGAGAAACTTTAGTATCGCTAACGCTCTTTTGTATCTCATAACTAGGGGCCGCCTTATAAAAGTTAGCATCGCTCTCATAATCCATCCTGCTTTTACTCACAGGCGTTGAAACAACCTTGGGTTCGAACAGTTTCGGAGTAGAAGGTAACTTTTCTTCCAGTATACTCTTTACCTCCATGTGGATGTCGTGTTGCGGAGGTTCGGGAAATTCGAAAACTGGTTTCGGGGGCATTTGATTTTTGGTCATGTCCAATAAGTTTTGGGGTTTTGGAGAATCGGCGGGGTAGGCGGGTTTCGGCATGTCGACGACGTTACGTGGCGGTGGTTTCGGCGGGACATCTGACAGTTTAACCTAAAAAATTACATCAAGCACATGTACGAAGCACAATAAAAGCTATCTCGAAAAATTACAAATGGAACGGCGCATGCTAATTTGTACATTGCTAAGTTGTATTACTTAAATTGATGTATTTTGATTGGCAAGAGAATCGAATTTATACCTTCCCAAATCTTTGCAAACTGACGACATAAAGAAGAACAATTATTGTCCTGGAGTCATAGTTCTTGACGCCGATGGAATTATTCCTATGAAGAGTTCACCAAGTCTGTTCTATCGGTCAGTAACTTTAAGTCGTATTCTTGAATAGTAAGGAGGGATAAGAACATAATCTAAATTCAGAACACATTTCTACTTCATTAAAAACTTTAAGAGAATGCCATCATAGACGTTTTCTTTTATCATTGTACGTTCACACTGAGATAAATTAGACCACTTTACTCTTTTTTCAGTGTTACTGCTACAACTTGGTATCATAAATTATAAAAAAGCGAAATATTAAAAAACCCGAGATTTGCCTGTTTTAGCTGACGTCAAATAACAACCAGTGAGAATGGAACGAAATATATTGTCCTGTTCTACTCGCTTTCAGTTGGTTTTTTCCTTTTGTTTCATAGGGTTCTGTTAGAGACAGACAATAAATTCTGCTTTACATGGCAGCGTAAAATAGATCTCCGACAATCAGACCTAACATGTTCGCATGGTTGCCAAACAAAACAATTTTGACAAATTCAGCGCTTTCTACGTTATAATTTATTAAAAAAAAAAAAAACAAAATAATTAGTATATGTAACTAAAAGGTAAAAAATATCTAAAACATTTTTGTTTTATATAAAAACCATATTTTGTATTTTCAAAGTACAATACGGCAACTTGATTTGCATGACGTCAGTTTGCAAACTTTGGGGATCAAGGCATACAAATAAATGTGATATTTCTAAAAGTATATATACAAGTTGGTCCTTAAATAATTGTACATAGAAAAATAGTACATTTTTGACTTTAAAATATTAGGATTTGAGCCAACTTGTTAATAAAATATTGATAATAAGACAGTTAAAGTTGAAATTGTAATGGTTATTTTTCTTAATATAATAAATATAATGTTTTTTGGAGATTTATAATAAAAATTTTGAAATTGGTAATTTTTGGGTATAAAAAAATATAATTTCGTATTTATATCGATCTATTTTATAGGGGACGCCACATAAGCCACAATAATTATTGTGACATAAATAGCCGTTAGTTTTTTGTTATTTAAGATAGCGATATTTTTATAATAAAATATTAAAGACATCTCAATTTAACAAAAACAGTTATACTTGTTATAACCCCAAAAGTTAACAATTTTCGATAATATAATCAAATTTAAAAGTAAAAGCTCCATAATTTTCATTTAATTTATTGTGTGAAATATTAACGTAGTAGGCGGACATCAAGAATTATTTTGACAGTTAAACGTTCTTGTTTCAATAATTTATAGTGTTTGTCATAGTTGTTATTATATAATATTGTTAATTATTAACTAAAAGCAGAAGATACAGAGACCTAATAATTTTACGAACATGGAAATAAGAAATATATGATTTACTATAAGGCACAATGAAACAAAGAGCTCGTTTGTAAGAATTTAATAAATAGGTGCCCAACTATGGGAAGATATCAATGCAGCAGCAATTGTTTCAACCAATGGTTTTATTTAACATGAAATGTGTGGATAAAATACATTGAAGAGAATGGTGGACATATCGAACACTTCCTTTTTTGACGTAAACTCCTCTATACATTAATACTCAAATTTAACATGTTACCACATTGAGGTAAATACATTATTATCAAAAACTCTGTCAACTTTAGGGATTAATAGTAATTATAACTTTTTTTTTGTTAAATTGGCATGTCATTAATATTTTTTAATAAAAATTGAGACAACTCAAATAACAAAAAAGTTTAACGTATATTTATGCCAGAAATGTGGCGCTTCCTATTAAATAGTTAAATATTAAGTTAATACGAAATTATAATTCTTCATACCCAAAAACCACCAATTTAAATATTTTTATTATAAATTTCCAACGTGAAAGTTGTTCGGAGAAGTACATTTTAAAATTTCACTTTTAACACCCGTTATCTGTCTTATTATCAATATTTTTTAAATCAAAAATCTACTATACTTCAATGTTTAATTACTTAATATCACTCTGTATAAAATAATAACTATATAAGTGTTATAAAATATCTAGCGAATATGTTTTATTTGGAAATGCAAATAAATTACAGTAGATGTCACTGAAGTAACCCAATTAGCCCGTTATGTAATGGTCCTCATTTTTAACCACTATACAGGGTGATTTATGCATTTTCTCCATTTTTCTTATTAATCATAGCTTGGATATTTTTTCACATATGGCAGGGCGCTCTTTCTATGTTGATTGTAGTTCCAACTATATACCAAATTATTAAAATTTGTAGTAAATTTTCCAAGCGGTCAAAAAATAGTTATCTCTAAGAAAACAACTAGGTCGTTCCATCCCAAATACGAACCTACAGTAAATTTAGACATATGATGACAAAACATGAAATATATTTCGAATTTATCCAAACATATTTACATTGAAATTTTATTTTGTAGAATCTTACTAGCCGACTCGGTAGGTAGACATCCTGATACAGACCTGGATCTCGTTAAACAGCGCCACCTACCGGGTCCAACTATAGGTGACCTCATACGTATAAAAAAAATCATCAACATCGGTCAAGCCGTTTAGTAGCAGAATAACTACGAATACACAAAGTGCGCATTACATGTAATTTTTTTTTTGCTGTAGAAAAATGTTGACTGCCATTTGTTTCTTTAAAAATGATAACGAATGAAATGCATGTGGCCATTCACGTGAATTTTTGGAAATGTAACATTTTTCTTAAAAAACGTTCGACATTTTTTTTTAATTATTGTTCAATTTGGAAATTTACGAAAAGTCACGGTGATTGATATTTGGGTGTCATTTGTTATCATTTTTGAAGCCACAACAATCCCATATAAAGTGCACTTTATGTGTGACACAGTGTAAAGATAAGAAAATATTTTAAGTATTCAGTGTAATTTCATTTTTCTATTCTTTTCTAAGAAGTAAAATAATTTAAAAAAATGTGTTTTAAAGCCAGACCAGGATTTACAAATTTAATTAATATTAGTGGGAACTACAGTTGACATAGAAGACGCTCAACGAAATAAAAATAATACAGTGTAGTTCGTAAGATACTACTAGGGATGTTGCGATACTACTGATATGATACTGGTATTGATACTTTTCTTTGGATACCGGGTAATTTAGTACTCGATACTTTGCTTTCGATACTTTACCCATATCGATACTACTTTCGTTTCAGTATTTTACTAATTTTGACATTACAATACATACAAAGAGTGTATTGTAGGATCACTTTTGTTCTATACTCTTCCCGATATCGGTATCGATAGTTTGGTTCCGATACCCTTTCGATACCGGTATCGATACTTTGGTTCCATTACTCTTTTCGATACCAGTATCGATACTTTACTTGTATCGCAACATCCCTAGATAAGACTAATAGTGAAAGAAATTGGAAATATGCATAAATCAACCTGTATCTTAGTTTTAAAGAATTATAGACCATATGGGTTTTTTAGCAGTTTCACTCTTACATATTTCCTTATTAAACACCCAGTATTTAATATAAACTGTTTATCCTCAAATTTGTGTTTAAGAAAATATGTTATGACTTAATGTTCTTTAAGTTAAAACAATAATTGCCATATCTAATAATAAAAATAATTACCAAAACATGGGTTATGGAGCTAATCCCGATTTACGTAAAAGAACGCTCGTGTAAGTAAAAAAAAAAATGTTAAGCAACAGAAATACAATTCCAATACATAAGACAACAAAAATGTGTGATAAAATAGTGGCAAAATATCATTAAAAACGACACCGACAGAAAATTTGACATAAACACACTCTATAATACAGAGAAGAGTCCCATAGCAAAAAACATAATTTATAATGACATTTAAAAGTGTTTAAGAAGCTGATTTCAAAAATATATTTGTGCCTCACAAGATGCATCGACTTTTATTAACAAAGAACAATTGCGTAACTTCAACTGTCAGTGAATTTGTTTACTGCCTGTTATTATTGTCAGATAAATGTCTTGGTTTTTCTCAAACAAATAATCCTGGGTCTTCCTGTTAAAATGACAAGTACAATAATTAAAAATAATGATATAAGTAAATTGTATTAAATACAAAATTTGATACAAATCGATTCAATAGTTTTTGAGAAATAAAGGCCTGCTTTAAAGCCCGATTTGACACTCTAAAAATTATATTTCATCAAAACCTTTATTTTTACAGATCTCTACATTATTTTCGCAACGTCTCACAGTGGAGTGTAATACCCAAATTCCTGACCAAAAAGACAAAAACTAAAGTTGGATAAAAAATTATACAACCTACATTTCCTTGAAGTTGACTAATTAGTAGTTAATAAAACATATAAATCATATTCGGTTGCTACTGATAGACCGTCAGATAGTGAACGATTTAGGTGCCCCATTTTCGCACACAAGCCTCAAAGAGGGTTAAAAAGTACATCGATGTTGAGTAGAATGAATGGAAATTTACGAGTGGCTCTTGAGGATAATACATGGAGAATCAACTTATCCATTCGGGTCATTCAAGCCAATATGTTTTTCGGATTAGTGACGATATATGTCTTCATACATTCGATGGGCTTGTGTGGAAAAATAGGTGAAAATCTCTATTTTTCTTACAAGATTACGCCCTTATTTCAACCCTTTAGCCACTTGCAACATTACAGCCTTTGGTTTTCCGAAGCCTTGTTCTATTATTAGTTAATTATTTAATCAACAAGGCTTGCGTGAAAATATGGGCAATTTTTTTTTAAATTTTTGTTAAGGAAAATGGAATTTTCTATATATTATCCCCAGGATATTTCCTTCCATTCTACTTAAAATCGATGTACTTTTCAATCTTCTTCCATGCTTGTATAAGAAAATGGGGCACCTAAACCTGTCACTATCTGACGGTCTATGACTCGGTTGAAAGTTACGAAAGTTTTTAGTTTTTACTTTTCGCCATAATATAGGAGCATTATTATTTTTGTTTATTTGATTTTAATTTTTTTACACTGATTAATAATGTGATTTGTTATTTATGTTTTTAAAATGCTGGAGTGGCAAAAATTAAACACACCATGCTCTTAACAATGGTTGATGGAAAGGTGTGCAATGGACACGTCATCATCAATGAGGTGCTATATCTGTATATTCACTTCAAAAGATTTTACAAAAAAGTACGGCAAGTACTGTAAACTCCGATAATAATTTGACATTTGGGTGGTCCAATTTACACACAAGAATAAGGTTTTTTAAGTCAGTTCTTCATTTGTCATACATAATCTCGATATAGAAATAGGAAGCACGAAGCCAGGAAGACACCAAAAAGGAAATTCAAGGAAAGTTTAAGGACTCCTTGTTGATGTTCCAAAACAAGGTTATGCGAATACAAAAGGTGAGTTCCGATAATCAGGGGCTGGAACGGGACAGGAGTTTTATTAGGGTGCTTTTAACTGACATTTAAGCGTGTTGAACGGTCAGAATAAACGAAAGTTAAAAGGGTCGTTTGGAATTAAAAGAGTTAATGGAGTGAATGAAACTTGGCTGACTAAACTTACCTAAATAATAGCAACACAGCGATAAATTTTTTTCTGATTCAGAAATTGCTTACACATTACTGGTATAAGCCTAGATTTTATAAAGAAATGAAAATGATACTCGAGGCTATTACAAGTGGACATCACATTGACGAGAAAAAGTTTCAAATATTCTATGATGAAACAGGAGCCTTTACGGTTGGCACCCCATGACACCAACAAAGTTCTGGTTCATGAAGCTATAGTTATTAAACAAGCTATTTTACCAATCAGGCCATTATCAGAAGAAGCTGCTGAGGTAAGGAATAAACACTTCAAAATGTACATGACTAAGTTTTCCAGGAAGTTTAAGAGACAAGTATGCAATAGAGATATTCTAAACAGGCTTTTCCTACCAAGTGATCGTTTTATTAGCTGTTCCAAACAAAAGCCTAGAAAAAAGAGTTAACCTTATAGCAGTGAGACTCTAAAGTTACTTTTGCCACAGTCACATGAAAGTGGAAGATTAGAAAAACCCAAAGATGAAAGTGAAGAATAAGATAAAGAAGAGGAATCAGAAAAAGGTGAAACAAAGACGAAATCGGTTTTGAAAACTCAAATCGAAAACAGTAAGATTTTTATGTATGTAAACCAAAAGTAAAATATGCAAATGTATCTCATATGTGTAGAAATAATTAGTAAAAGTATATTTTTACAAAATTGTTAAGTTGTAATTTATATTTATCAGTAAATTAATAATTATTAGTTTTACTAGTATACAGCAACAAAATAAAAACGTTAATATTGAAATTAAAATATTTTTATTTGAACTTTTTGTAAAAATAAAGTTCTGTAACACATATATTTATTATGTTATTAAAATTGTATCTCATGAAGACAAGAAAATTCAGTATTATTTTGATTAAATACATGACAAATTGTGTAAAACTTAGATTTATGTGTATTAAATCTTATAGAGTAGACTACAAGTCACAAACATTGATTATTAACCAAAACGAACAAACATATGTTAGGCCCAGATTCAATAGCTAACAGTAACAGTAACAAGGATTTTATTTACATAGTTAAAATATCTACAGATTCAGAATATGAAATAGTATAATCAACACTACCGGGATCTTCTCCTTTCGTGCTGGTCTAGAGTCCGACCGGACTTGTCCACCTATATCTACCCCTATTCTGATAAAAAATGATCAAATATTGCAGCCCTCACTCCTTACCATGCGATATTATTGAGGGATTAGGATTGTTTTGGAATCGGTAATGGGAATTTGTAAAAGGATATGTCGCGTTTGAGTTATGGTTTTTGTCCCCATAACTCAAATAGCTCTAAATACTCCACTGTGCGTCGTTCATAATCAATCTGTACATCAAAATATGAGGAATACAAGAACAGGTGTTTGACCAAGAAAGTTAGATAGGTAATCCAGAAACACTTCTAGCAAGTAAATGCTTTTTCGATATTTTTAATAAAATCTAAAAAAACAATTATAATACTCACCTCAGTGGCAAGTTCCTCAGCTTTAATAATTTCATCCTTAAAAACTACAGGCAAGTTTACAGCCTCTACAACTGGTATACCCAATTGATAAATGGACTCGTTTAACGGTACATTAACTTCTCTTACAAACTCCCTAATAACTTCTTTGGTTTCTCTAATTTCTTCAATTTCTCTCACTTCTTTAACCTCTTTAATAATGCATTTGGTAATTTCAATTTTCTCGAATTCTTTTGAGATTTCTGGTATTATGGGTGTTTGTTCGGGTTCTTCAGACAGATCATAAGCAGGGGTACTATGGCTTTTATCTAATTTTCCTCTTAGTTTAGTTGTAGCGCTTCGGGGCGGTACTGCTGGCTTTACTTTACCCTCTGGTTTAGGTGGTACTTCTGGAGACTTTTTAATTTGCGTTCTAGGTAGTACCCTCGGTTTTGCTGGCGTTTCCGGTTTATGTTCATCGAATTTTCTAATAATATTGTGAATGTTAATTTCGGAAAGTATTGGATCTTTCATTATTGCTGAGTTGAGCGATTTTAATTCAGAGGTAGATTTGATGTCAATACTTTCAAAGTTGTTAATACATTTAGTTTCAGTGTTTTCATGTTTTGATTCTATATTGATTGTTTCCGAAGCAGTTTTGATACCAGATTCATTTTTGATTGTCTCTACTACTTGTTCGTTTGTTTCTTCTTCTATTTTCGGCTTTTCTACAATATCTTCAAAAACGGGTTTATTTTTTATTGTATCTATTATTTCATCAACGATTTCTTTTTTCCAGTAATCTAGAGTCATACTGGACCGATCTGTTAATTCTCTTCCTGATACATAAAAAGAGAAACCTTTTACTTTTTTTTCATCTAGAAGTAATAAAAAAGTGTATTGTTTGGGGGATTAATTGAAATTTTGATACCACCAGAAGCTTTCCCAAAGGGAGACCTAAACCAGGCGTGAACAATAAATTTGACACAAAAACAAATGTGATATTATTTTACAGTAATTGCAGTGATTTTAAAGATGAACAATATTTTTTGATTTTTTGATAAGCATAATTAAGCGTGTTTTTTTAATGAAACATTATGATTGTTAGGTACAATATGTGTGCATAGTTTTGTGTATTGTAAAAAAATTAAATAAAGAAAAATGCTTACCTTCATCTATGTAAGATATGTTTTCATTATTCAAACTAGCCAAACTAGCAACGCTCAAACTTTTTTCTGTATCCAAATTCGACGGCTCTAATAACTTCACGTTTTTAACTTCTTTATTGCTTATCGCGCAACTATCTTCTTTCTTTTCTTCTTTGATCCTTTTTTCTTCTTGTCTCCTTTCCTCGAGCCTTTTCTCTTCTTGAAAATTGACTTTCTTCTTAACCGACTTTTCTTTGGAATTTTTTCTATGAGACGAAGTACTGCCGTGAGCTATACCGATGACGGTCGTAGGTCTAGGCGAGCAATCCAGTCCCACGTTACAAGAGGCGCTTTTGTCTCTTAAAAACCTCGAATCTTCTTCAAATTTTGAGCTGTCGATATTGTAGGAACTCGAATGGGAAGTGTTTGTTCGAGATTTGATAAAATCCCAGTACTGAAACGAAAATATAAATATACAGTAAACGTAATTCGCTAACATCTTTAGAGGATATTAATGATATAACAGCCAATTGGATAAGTTATTATTTTATTCAAATTATTAATAGTTAACTATATTTTTAAAATAACTCATAGTGCTCTTAGGGACAATGGTGTTCCATGAGAATTTTCTGAAACTAAGATGGTCTCCGTTTAGATTCTACAGTGATGAAAATGTATTTTATCATTTTTTTTATAATTAATTTCGAAAATTAGACAAATTGCACTGTGGATAAATATTATGTGTATTAAAAGCTTAAATGTTAAAGGAACAGAATTCAACTATCTTCTTGGAAACGAACATCTTGAAAGCGTCAATACAACAAAAGATCTTGGGTTTATTTTCACCCAAAACTTAGCTTCGACCAACATTATACTATATAATCAATCGACTGCAGCAGCAAAGGGCAAGTTTGGCATGCTATTCAGAAATTGTAATGAATTTAGATATAAATAAAATTATATTAGATTGTTTTTAATACATTTGTGAAATCTCGGCTAGAGTATGCTTGTCTAGTTTAGTCTATTAAACCACATCCAATCTATTGAAAATGTACATATTTTGTTATAAGTTGGTGCATGGCTTTATTGACTCCCCACAACTTCTTCGGCAACTTAATTTCAACATATCAAGGTCAAATTCAAGAAATACATTGTTTTTATTTGCCATTTCCAAGAACAAATATGTTTAAAAGATCTACTGTATTTGCAAGTGCAAAAAATTCAATAAATTGTGTAATCAGGATGAGTTATATTTCATAAATTTACTATGTTCAAACAAAATGTTATGAATTTTAGTTATTTTTATGTATTAAGTTACTATTATAAAGCACTTATAAAGACAATTGATGTAGTAACTAGTTCAGAGACTAGGTGGAATATAAGACAGGGGGCTATTTATAGAAAAATAGACAATTATAAACTCAAATGCGACCAAGATGCAAAATAAAATTACACTCAAGCCATGTGTCATAATAATACGAGTAACTGTTTCTCTCTTGAACATACTCCTTTGGCTAATACCTCACTAGGTATTGCATTAAATCAAAAGAAAAAACAGAGATAGTAAACAAAATCAAAGGTAGAGCGTGAAAACATTTTTGTCCCTGCTTTTTTCTTTTGATGTAATTTAATACCTGGTGAGGTAGCCAACGTGATAGTTGTTTTCAAGACAAAAACGACCGATCGTTTAGATGAAGAACATTAAGGGTGGAGTGTCCATCAACGAAGATTGAAAATAGTAACAGAGAAATTACTAGCACAACAAAATTTCTTGGTGTTCATATCAATGAATTTTTGAATTGGTCAGACCACATAGTAAAATTATGCAACAAGGTACATTCTATTGTTTATGGAATAAAAACAATAATTATTTAAATAATTAATTCAAATTATTTATCGTACTAATTTTGAGACGCTAGCAAAATAGGCTATAATTTTTACTTTCCTGTCTGTATACAGATAAGGAAAGCATAGGAATCATGATTATTTCGACCTCGAGTTTTTGATGGATTTTTACGCTTTGGGTTCCCCTGAATCCGTTTTGACTATTTTCGCGATGATGTCTGTAATACTGTAACTATGTGTGTATCTGTACTCGACAGCTCATGAACGGATACAGAGAAAAACACCAAATTTTAAACTTACACTTTATTTCGGCCTGCGGTGAGCTGATTAGATTTTGGACAGAGTCGGAACTTCTGGGGGGATACCTTATAGCCGGGTCATTTTTATATTTTATGGACTATATCTGTTATTTACGTTCGGATAAGGACATTCTTCAAATAAAAGTTACTTGTAATATTATTCTCTATAATTTTCCTAAAATGGTCCGTATTCGAGAAACTTGACAAAGGTAAAAAATTCAAATTTTTAATAAAAAAATTGTTCTATACATAATTGTCATAAAATGGATCGTATTCGGGATATCTGAAGAAATGTGTAAATTTTGAATATAATTTAAAAACGGATAAAAAGAAAAACCAAATTTTAAATTTATGCTTTAATTCATCCTGTAGTGAACTGATTTAATTTTGGGCATAGTAGAAACATCTGGGGATACTTTATGGGAGGTCATTTTTCTACTTTATGGAATATATCTGTTATTTAGGCTAAGAGAAGAAAATTCTTCAAATAAAAATTGCTTATAATGATATTCCCTATAAAATTTTTTCCTAAAATGGTCCGTATTCGAGAAATTTAACAAAAAGTGCAAAATTCGAATTTTTAAGAAAATTGTTCAAATAAAAGTTGGTTGCGATATCATTCTCTATAATTTTTGTTCTATACACGATTTCTCTAAAATGAACCGTAATGGAAAAATCTGAAAACTGGCAATATTATCTAAAAAATGTTTCGAGTAAGATGTGTGTGTGTGCGTGTATGGAAAATGTATGTATTTATTTTATCCTCCAAACATTCACAGGTGTATCTGTAACATGTGGAGGGTGGGTTACGCCCACGGCGCTCTCAACCTGACGTATTTGGTTTGGTGGTCTTAATAGGCAAAAATAAACTTGAAGTCACCATTTGGTCTAGTTTGTCAATAAGATCGATTTGGCACCGACAGTTTAAATGATTTGATACAATTATTGGTTTCACAACAATACCTTTTTTAGTTTTGTTCCGTTTGAGCTGACAGGTTTTGCAAGTTTCAATAAATAATTTTTCCCTTTCCTGTGTTATAGTTATAGTACATTTCATTTAATAATTTTGTAGTTGCTTGACGACATCCATGCCCAGTTCTCTGGTGGGCAGCTTTAATCGCATCATAACATTCACTCAAACGTAAAATAATCTTTCCAGATTTTTTGTGTAAAATTATATAAGATGGTTCGATTCTCTATAAACCGCAACTCACCACAACACTATTTTATATTATTAATAATTTATTTATTGTTTTCGAAACCCGCTATACACCATTTATTAATTTTTTTATTATTAAAAATCACTTAACCTAAGCAGGGAATGAACTCACGACACGTTCATTGTCGTTCTAGGGTTTCAAGCGCTAGGCGCCCTCGACCAAGGAACCACTTGCAAAAATTCTTACAACATACGGTATTATTAGAATAAGATTTCAAACTTCCGCTAATAGAATGAAATGTAATAGATTCAATTTGCCAATTTTTAATGAGCAATTCTATTTAAAAAAAGGCAGTGTATATAGATTGTATTATCTGGTAGGCTAAATAAATAATGACCTAAGATGGACGTCCATTGGACGTCAAAATATTACTAAACTTAAAATTAAGTCTAAAAACAGACGTCCTTTGGGTATCATCAAATTAATGATCATAAATAGACGTACACTAGATGTCTGAATACGGATATGGATGTTATGGCCCTCAAATGGATCTAAAGTGATAGTGATCGTCCATTGGACGAAATGTGCTGTCTGGGTAGAATCACTGTCATTCATTAATTTTGAATTTTGCGACTTTTGCTCGTAAATTTCCAAAAGTAGGTTTTCAAATTATTGCTGTTGATTCATTTTTAATAACCAGATACCTCTTCTCAAACCCATTTTACAAGACACCACAGTAAGAGTAAACAATAATAATAATACACACTTGTCATAAATATAAACTCACTTTTCTAATAAATTAACCAAAGCAGATTGGTCAGTTTACATACTAACCGACGAGCTAGTTATTATGTATTACTACGAATAATAAGTTCACACTTTATCCAGATATTCTGGATAGTTTGTAAACTAGCCAAAAATACCGGTTAGTTTGTGTACTTTTCTTGTGGTTTGTACTTTGGCGATAAATATTGTATAGTTTATTAAATAGCTGGTTAGTATACAAACCAACCAATATTCATAGCTATTTTAGTAGAAATATAATTTTCCATTAAAATAGCAGGACACTTGGATAGTTTGTTTCCTATCCAGCTAGTCTACAAACTAGCCAAGTAAACACTTTAACCGTAACATATACACAATTTTTTTTTATTCTGTGTAATGTCTTTTTTAGACTAGAATGGCAAGACGAGAATTCGCGCCCTTTAGCAATAATTGTACTGAATATTGTTATTGTATGCTGAAGAGGCGAATTCGCGTCTTTTATGACATGGCAATGACATAATATTAAATACATCTTAACACCTATGAAGACTAGAAATAAGGAGGTGAATCGGCATACTCGAAATACGGTCCCAAAAAACGAACGCTAATTGAGCTTCTATAATTCACCGCATGGGCGCTGATGCTTTAAAATGCATGGTTTCTTATGGGAATTTGACATAATTTTGCGAAAATAATTTAAAAAAAACTTGTTTATTGCTAAATAAAGCACCGAACACTCTGTTGTATTTCTAAATAAGTCTTGCATGTTTTAATTGATAATTTATTTAATTTTATCTATATAAAATTAGATAGGTATGACCAAATTCAAAAAGGTTTGTTAAATGGTGAAATTTGGTAAGTACAATTTTGTGTAAAATTTTTTTTGAAGTAAACCTAAATATAGTTTTAAGAGCAAAATAAAATACAGATAACAGATTTTTTATTGGTATAATACAAGCATAAAGGAGATTTGAAAATGTACATGGTATTGCCTCATACTTTAATTTCGGCCTTCCCCTTTTTATTTTGCCAAAAGTACCATCAGTAAAAAGAATCTCATATTTGGAAATATCGTCTAAAAAGTGTAGAATAGTATTATCTATAGAAAGTGCTTTCTCGATCCTAGAAACGATATATATGCTGCCACTGTTCTAAACGTTTATGATCCTATAAAAAAAATCATTTACAATGACAAAATTGGGATTCAACAAAACAATAACAGTAGTAACTGGAAGGAATATGCTCATCTATACAGATAGCAGACAAGCACTACTCACCCTGAACAGACCACGAATTTACTCAGGGTTAGTACTAGAATGTCACGAAGCTTTGGCCGAAGTATCCATCAACAATGTGGTCACCTTAAGATGGATCAAAGGTCGAGA